ATGTGATTAATATTGTGACATTTTAAATAACCCTGGTGGCCTGACACCACTGGCAGTGCCACAATGAAATTATAATGATGACATGAGTACTGTAAAAGCACTTGTCACAGGCAGGTGGGACACAAGGGTGGTGGCATCTGCATGCACAGACCCTGGCAAAGAGGAGACGGGATACTCAACAGCACAAAGAGGAACCATCACCTAAAAGGGCTGCAGGAGACATAAGGAGGGACTTCTTACAAGGGCATAGTGTGACAGAACAAGGGGGAATGACTTCAAACTGAGAGAGGGCAGGGATAGATTGGATACTGGAATGGAATTCCTCCCTCTGAGGGTGGTGAAGTCCTGGCACCTGCCCAGAGAAGCTGTGGCTGTCCCATCCCTAGAAGTGTTCAAGGCCACTCTGGAAGGGGCTTGGAGCAACCTGATCTAGTGGTAGGTGTCCCTGCCCATGGCAGGGGTTCAGAATGAGATGAGCTTTGGGATCCCTCCCAACCCAAACCATTCTACAATTCTGTGGGTTTGTACATGGCAGGCCATGATGTCTGTGAGAAGAAAATAAATACCTTATTTCCCCACTCCCAGCTCCAAGGATTTCACTTCTTCTTAGACACAATCAGATGACACATTTCCACCACTACAGACCTCCAAGCTTTGCATAACTTCTCACCACTGATTGCCAGCTAACTGGAAGCATCACTGGACAGAGGACACCCTCACCAGAGCTCCAGTATCATCTCCTCCTTCTCCAAGGCTAGGGAAGGAGAATCACAAGCTTCCAAACAAGCCATCTCCCTGGAACCTCTCATTTCATTTCCCCCAGACCCTGCACTACCTTCATCCCACAGGCAGTGGCAGGCAGTGGTGCAGGCAGGTGGATCATGTCCAGGTCCCACAGCTGCACCCTGACCCGCCGACTCAGAGGCGAGACTCTTATTTACTCAGTCAATCCCAAGAATAAACTCAAGGAAGGTGTGACCATCTAGGAATCATATATTTTTACTGGTGCTTTGCTCTGAGACACTTGATGCAGTTCATTGACTGTGTTTCAGCCTGCAGGTTAACCTCTGCCAGCTCCAGAAACTTCACTTCGCTATCAGTTTCTAATAAAAGAAAATGTCAACAGGTAAATACGCCCAAAATTCATTATTTTCAGATACAAAGATATTCCCAACTCTGTAAACCCACTCATAAATAATTCTGATTTATTATAAATCAGTTATTGTATTCATAAACGCTGGGAAGTTAGTGAACAACATAACTACCAAAAGAAATACTTTCATAACTTTGCAGGTGCACAAATCACAGCATATGGGAGAGGACTCAAAGGATAATGGAAAATGAAGCAGTTTCAGAAAGCCTATATGAAAACCAGCACCTACCTAGCTCGATAAAAATAATTTATTTTTAGTCGACAGGCAATCAAATGCAAAACTCTAGCAGAAGGAGCTGGCAGAGCAATACTACTAAATTGTATACTAATGTATGTAACACTATTAAAAATAGCAATTCCCTCCAAAATGTATGAAAATGGGTCCAACTTTTGATTAGCAGAAGTGACAGTTGGGCTGAGGCTGCTCAGGCTTTGAGGTTAAACACAACTGACACAGGCTGCACCTGAATCCAATCACTCCCCGGGCTCCGAGAAGATTCACACGCGAGGACTAAATTTGTCACAAATGGGTTGGTTTCCGATCCTCCTGTAGCCAACTTGCTTTATTCTAACCCCCGTTTAACAAATCAACTTAATGGGTACTGGGAGTGCTATAAAACTTAACAATGGAGTGATTTTAACTTTTAAAATATAGTTATGAAGCAAAATGTTGGAGAGCTCCTTCAATACTGGAAATCAAATTAAAACGAGACATTTTTTAACAGTCTTGACAGATATAATCCTAGTTACCATGTAAATTTATGGTAAGCTGCTGTGATATTAGCCACAGGTGCTACTTTTAATATATGGCCTGCATCTGGCTGGGAATAAAATACCTCAAGAGGACTGAAAATGACCTCACTATCAGACAATGGAGAAGAAAAAAACCCACAAGACCACTGTGGCATATAAAAAGCTGGAGATGTGGTCCACAACTGAATATTTACCATAAAATTCATTTTAACTCTGCAGATTGTAAGTTGAAGGATATAATGTTTTCAATACATAAAAGGTGTGGACGCATTTCAGACAAACAGCCAAAAGATTAAGTACATAAAGTGAAAACAAAATACACTGCCTATATGTATAAAACCAAATTTTCCAACCTTTGATGAAGGTAATAAACAAAGCAACATGCCAAGAGTAGAAGAAGGAAAGACAGACCCGGATTATATTTAAGGCACTGGCACCAAGTTCTGCCATTGAAAGAAATCAAGAGTATTCATTGCATATCCTACCAAATTCATTGTAGGGAATTATGTCTAACCGGGATCATACAACAAGGATCATCAATTTAAAGGGACAAATCTGAGAATGTCTCCCTACAGCCAAAAGAAAAAAAAATTGGCATCACCAAGATGGAGAAAAAAGGCATGTACTATAACATGCTCTGTCTCACATTATTCCAAGCAAGAGAGATAGCAAATCTGGAAAGGAAATGCAAAGTGAGAATAATAACTTATTTAATATGCCTAGATTTTTTGCTAGATCTTTAAATATATTCTCCAAACCCAAGACACAGATTGCACTGAGACATATGTGCCTCTACTCTTAGTGCACAGCATTTTCATACTGTCCTCTCCACTCAGGCTCATCTTCCACCTCCACCCTCTTGCCCCAAAAGACAAAACATGTATCTGAAATAGCTTTAAAACTCTTAGAGCATTTGATTTCCTGTCATTTTAGAGAATGGCATTAGAGATCTTATGGAGACTTCCTACTTTTTTTTTTTTTAAGCAAACGTAATTAAAAACTTACCCTATAAAAGAAAGCAGCTGTAAATCTGAACCTGACCATCACCAAGCTTGCCCACCTTTGTAATTTCCCAACTGCATTTGCTGCCTTGGTGTGATTACCTACGGAAATGCAATCACACAGGCAGTTGCCCCTTAAACCTTCTGGTCAAATCCAACCAAGTTTGACAAGAGACATGGAAGTCTCAGAGCTAAGATGTTCCTGCAAATTCAGGAAAAGTGAGCAGCTGGATACAGGACCCAAACCGAGCACTTGGCATCCTGCACTCACAGCCTTTCACAGCTGCCCACCCAGCCCAGGACTGGGCTTCAGATGAATCTGGGAGGAATTCACATCTTTAACCTAGACCTATTGCCTCTTCCCACTGCTCCCAAGGTGAACTAACCTGAAGTGCTGGGAGAAGTTACGAGCATGATTTGGAGGCATAAATTAACTTCCTACCCCAATTCCCAATTTTGTTCAAGCAGATTGGAAGCTGAGAGCTCGCTACACTGGAAGAAAACCATTTCAAAGATGTGAATACATGAGAGCATCCCTTCATGGATGCTACACCATGCCTGAAAGCCTCACCAGCCACTCTTCTCTGCCCTGCAGCCTGGGAGAGAGGCCCCAAAGAAGCTCCCTGATGAGGCTGTGAGGTTTGTAGAGGCTCATGAGCACCCAGATGCATAGTAGGGATTGCCACGGAGTGCTCCAAGCCCACCTCCTCTCCAGAACCTCACTCACAGCCAGAGGTTTCTGCCAAGCACATGTTCCTTTGGAAAAGTGACTCAACCTGGGGGCTTTGAGCGAGTGCACCCCATCGAGGGTGCTGAAGGTAAAAGACTCCAGTCTTAACTCATCACTGCCTACCTGCCACTCCACAGTGGCAACAGCTCAGGGCAATTGCAAGGCATGAAGAGGAACAGAGGCACTGGTGTCACCAGCACAGCTCTTCCAGACACAGCACTCTCCTCCACAGCTGAACTGCATTTTTCCACCCACCACTAGTGTATTTTATTTTATACAAGATGCAGAACACCAACCCACCAGGAGCCTGCCTCACATAATGGGAACATACAGCCAATACTATCCAGTCCCCCAGGGCTGATGCTTGGTGGGCATGCACAGCAACAAAACCAACCAATGTCTTTCAGCAGAAACCCAGCCTGGTTTCCAGCTTATTTCAGAGAACTGTACCACCAAAGTCCATTTTCATGAAAACATATCTTCAGACTAACAAACACCACCAGTGCTTTCAAATTCTGGGTTACAAACTAATTCCCTGAGCCAGAAGTGTCATTAGCTTGTCAGCCTTACAAAGGCAGCTCACTGCTAATCGCTTTTAACTGAGCTAATCTCAGCCCAAAAACTTCAGGAATCTAAATAACTCTTGTTTCACAGAAGTTTCATTTCATTCTCATGCTGAAAATAATATACATAAACGAAGCTCATGTCTACACATTTGCACAACTTTATAATAAAAGTTGTGTTTATATTCTTAACATCTGTTGACATCCACAGACTTTGTAAACCTGGCATAGATTTTGAAGCCACAGAATTTTCCATGCATCATGAATATTATCTGCAAGAAGCAATAAAAAAAAAAAGCAATGAATACATTAATCATACCAATATCATCTGCAAAACATAAATTTGAAATACCTTTCGTGTCAGCTCAACCACTTTTTTTTTTTTTGTATTTTTTTTTTGTATTTTTGGGGGTGATTTTTTTTTCCACACCTGATTTTATGCCGTCTGTAAAAGGGCAGCAAGAAGATGACTGAAATGACAGATCACTGAGGAAATGACATTTCTCAGTCCTTTGACTTTTACTAAACACTTTAAATCCTGTAAATAGAATATTTATTATATTAAATGAAAGCAGTTGAACCTACAAGTTCCATTTTTTCATTGCAGGACTAAATTCTCCCAAAGTACAAGGCAGGTACAGCTCCACTTTTGCCATTTGTTTCCTAGGTTGTAGTAAACTGTAAACAGTATTTACTAATAGTCACTATAAATACAAGCATATGTGCATAATTGAATAAAATTAAGTATACATGAATAATTTAAATTTATTTTTAGCTTCAACTTATCGAAAGGCAAATACCTGCTCTCTAATACCAGCTAAGTATCTAATGCCCTTGGGATCTGCATGTTGAGCCTGCTCCTGGACTATGAGAACATGAATGATTTCTTCCCTCTGCAACTGCAAAGGAGACACTGCAGAAAATCCATAAAAATCAACAGGTGAAACTCTGCCCTTAGATATTCACATCTATGCTTGATCCAACCAAAACTGCCCAGAGCACCCACCTGCATGGCTTTTTCTCCCAATTTGGGGCAGAAATTGTGTTTTGAAGTCAACTCCCAGCCCCTGCTCTCATTTCTGCCTTACATCCATGAAATCAGCTAAGAATGAAAGACACTGTTCTAGTATCTTCCAAACAATTCAAGTGGCAATTTTTAGAAATACTCTTCCCATGACTACAGGTACTCAAAGTATGAGCATATAGTTCATCATTTACCAATAAGCTAATTTAAATATACTCAACTTCCTATACTGGTATGTGCTCCATCCACCTTCAAATCAGGAAGGCATGGGTACAGGTAGACCTGTGGGTATCTACCCATGCTGTAAGATAAATCTACACTGTCAGAAAAAATACAACTTTGTAAATTTTTATCAAAGTATGTATTTCCAGATAGCTGCTGGTGCAGGACATTGATTTGTCTCCTCATCGGTCTGTTGGCAGACAGGAACTGTCTAAATCCATCTGATCAAAGTCAGTTACTCATTTACAGTGGGCAAAACTGCTTTTTAATTAATTTTGGGAGCAACTTCATTTCTAGTTTTGCTGAACCAACAAAAACTTTGACCATAACCAGGCAGAGATGCCATTTCATGAATATTTGAAGTCAGAAAATCTCAACTCTTCCAAGGGTCACTTCTATTCCGCCTCGTTCGTGGTTGCTCCAGCCCCCAGCTGCCTGCACTTCTCACCAAGGCTTCCTGTGAACTCCCTCTCATGGGCTTCTCCCCTTCACTGCCCTCTGAATGAACTGATTTGGTTCTATTTGCTCTGTATTAACACTCAGGTTAAAAACATACTCAGAGCTCTGGCATGCCCCCTGGACCAGCACTGTCCTGCTAAATGGGCTGGATTTTTCTGCAGTTGTTTTCTCTTTTGCTTTTTCCCAGCTCACTCCATCCACCTTCTCTCTATTGCCTGGGCTTTCCTTACTATGACAATCTGTGAAACAGGGAAAGAAAGGGCCAAGGTTACAAGTTGTTGTTTATCCAGATCACTGTGGTTTCCTAAAACATCTTGTTCTGGGTTTAGGCACAGCCATATAAATAAACAACTCACAGCATAGCTCCTGGTCTCTACACACACCAACAAACCCACAGTATCCCCAAATTGGAGCTTGCCATGTCCCTCCGTAGGGAGGGAAAGAACCAGCTTGGTGAGACCCATCATCCCAACAAACCCCTGGAAATTCTTTCTCCTCCCTAGAAAGAGCTCACCCTTCCCTCAGAAATAAAACAGAAAGGAAATGCATGCTCTGGGAACGTGACTTTTTCTAAGAAATGTCATGATTCCTTAGAAAGGAATTTACAGGGGAATGTAGCTGAACAAGGACCTCAAGACAAATTCAGTATTTCTAAAGCAAGTTTGTAATTGATGTCTGAGGCAAGTTCTTGTGTGAGATGTGGCTCAGGATCCTGCCTCCAAACAAAAACCCAGTGATGTAAATAAAAACCAGCACTCTGTGCACTCTGTGTGCCAAAGACATTGCAAGATCAGCTATTAGAACTCCATCAAGGATATACTAGAACTTTGTATTCCTGTTTAGAAGGTGAAATGTTCCTATTTTCCCCACCTTGTTTTCCAAAACTTTCTGTTCTTTCTTTTATTTACCCATTTTTCTCATGTATTTCCCTGACAAAAATGATCCCCACTGGCCATCAATTATGTATTTCCAGCATTTATTCCAGAGTGTTAGTAATGAAAAAAAAAAATCAGGATCAAATACTGCTTGTATTTCCACAATACCAACCTTGACCCTGACCTGAATATTATAATCAAGGAACTGTAATATTAGAACAAATCTATTTATCAACTACAAAATGGAATTAATTTACTCCACCTAATGAGATCAGAATCTGAGAGCAATTCATCAGGGCAAATCCAAGAGGATTTGGCCCCACCAGGATACTCCCAAACTTCTGAATATAAATATTTTCCCATCAGGATCATATGGAAATTAAAGCAATTACATTTCCTTTATATTAAAAGTGGTATATAACAATCATTACCTGATTAAAATTCTTGAAATTGAACTCCTTGTAGATGGCATCTCTTTCTCCCAGCTCAGACCAGCCTGAAGTTTTGAGATCCAGTAAAACTTGGTTCCTTTCCTCTGTTGTCAACCAGTGAGACTGGGAGGACTATTGAGGGGAAAAAAATAAAGGCACGGCACAAGTGAGGCTGAGGTTCTCTTTTGTACAACAATAAGAAAACAACACAATTAAATTGTGGTTATGTATTGTGCAAAGGTGAGGATGTGGAAAATTCACTGTGCAGTTTCTTACTATTTATAATTTCACAGACCAGTTTAACCAAACCCTGCCATTTCTGTTTGGCCAAGTGCTTTTTGTACAAAACTACTGAAAAGCAATAGACTCTTTCCCAAGAATGGACATCAGCATACCCATACCCTTGGTCATCTCAATTATGCAGATGCTGCATAATTATGCATCATATTTAATTTTCAAAAGTTCCATTCTGTCTGGTAAGTAAAGGATGATTTACATTATTTGATAAATGTACATTTATAAGGCTAAAAGATATCAGGAAATACCTATTTAAAAAGAGAGAAGAAAAACAGGACATTGTATTCTACCTACTTTGTATTTTACTATTTTAAGAAAGTGGGAATGGACCTTTAAGACAGCATACACTGTGGAGTTCCACAAAAAACAAAGAGCCTTTTAATTAAAGTAAAAGAAAAAAAATTACAACTAAATTAAAAGAAAAA